AAAAGCCAAAACAATCTTGAAAAAAATGAAAAAGTGGGAGAATTTACACTATTTGTTTTTAAGGTTTATTTTAGAACTGTAGTAACCAATACTGCGTGGTACCGGCAGGAAGATGAGCCAATAGATCAATGCGTCAGAATACGGAGTCTGAAGACAGATCCAAACATATACTGCTAAGTGGCTGTCAACAAAGGCACCAAAGCAACTTAATGGAAAGAGTAATCTTTTCAAAAAATGAAATTACTAGAACTGAGCAGCCACATGCAAAAAGTATTACCCTTTGCCTCATACCACATACAAGAGCCAATGCAGATGCATCACTGGCCTAATTCAGGAGGTAAAGCTACAGAAGGTTACCGGATAGTTCAATAGAGCTTTCTTGATGATGGAAATATTTTTGTATTTCCCAAGATAATAACCACATATAACTACAGAGCATTTGAAATTGGCTACTGTGATTGAGAAACAAATTTTTAAAAATTTAATTTTACTTGTTGTAATGTTAAATGACCACATGTAGGTAGTGGCTATTTCATTGGGTAACACATTTCCAAAGAAATCCTAAGAGAAAATCTTAATGACTTTGAATTTGGCAAAAAATAAAATAAAATACACCAGAAAAGGCATGACCTATGTGAAAGAAAATACAACACAAAATGCATAAATGTAAAAGAAAAATGAAATTAATAAACCAAACTTCACGAAAACATAAAACCTTTCTTCTTCAAATGACATTGTTAAGAAGATGAAAAGGTAAGCCACAGACAGAAAATATTTGCAAATGTTTTAACAGACATTTCTCCAAGAAGATATGTAGAGGGATGGCTAATAAGCACATGAAAGGATGCTTCGTCATTAGGGAAAAGCAAATTAAAGCAACACGGGATTCTCTCACACAGCCAGGGGCATAGCTAACACTGAAAAGCAAGTGTGGATATGGAGCAACTGGAACTCTCATACACGCTACTGGGAATGAAATGCAGTGCACGCACTCTGAAAAAGGGTTTGCAATTTCTTAAAAATTTAACCCACTCCAGTATTCTTGCCTGGAGAGTCCCCACGGACACAGGAGCCTGGTGGCTACAGTCCACGGGCCACAAAGAGCCGGACAGGACTGAGTGAGTAGCACAGCACCACGCAGCAGCCTACGGATTCACCCAAGAGAAACGAAAGCCCATGTTCACCCAAGACTGGTACACAACTGACGACAGCCCAAAATGGGACAAGTGTCCATCACGAGGTGGGCAACTGCAGTCCATCCACACGGCAGGACGCCGCTCAGCAATCAAAGGAAGGACCCACGGGCCATTAGAACATGAATGGGTCTCAGGGTGATGATGCTGGGAGAAAGAGGACAGGCAGCAGAGTCCATACTGTGCACTGCCATTTATGTAAAATTCTAGAAAATGCAAACAAATAATGACAAATAAACCAAAAAAGCAGATGCCTAATTACCTGTGAGGGGAGAGAACAGGAGGGGGGTTTGCAAAGAAGGTAGGGAACACCTTGAGGGTGACAGACATGTTCACTCTCAAAACTACGGCAATTGTTGCCTGGGCTTGTTTACTTGTCAAAAGGACTCATATTGGACACTTTACATACGTATAGATTATTGTATGCCAAGTAACCCTCAGGAAACTGTAAAAAAAAAAAAGTAGTATGGACTATTCAAAAGCAACAGAGTAGGATGGAAAACAGACTCTTAAAGGAAGATGATTTTAGAATCGTTTAACCAGCTGAGCTCCACTCCAGTGTTGTACAGCCGGCTGGAAGTTACCAAAACAAGGGAGTAAGTGAACACGAGGGAAACATGGGGCCCAGAGAATGAACGAGCGCCTGGAAGAAAGGAGACGATGATGACGACGGGACGTCGTCAGAGCAGACACCCGCTGGGGGCAGGGGGACAGAAGACCTCGGCAGGCAGGAACGGCGGGAGGAAGAGGCTGAGCTCCTACATTCCCAATGTGCTTAACCTTGCAAAAACTAGTATCGAGGGTGTTTACCGTGGTGATGCCGAGCCTGGCGAGAATTTGTAACAAGAACAGAGAAACCAAGTGTTAAAGAACAAGTGCTTTCAGCAAACGAGACCGTTAATAACTTCAGGGGAAACACAGCTCTGAAAGAAAGGAAATATAATCATAGTTTCCCACTGGCTCAGCCACGACCAGCCCTTCCATGAACAGACGCCGGGGTACACTGGATACGGCTTAACAGAAACAAGGATATACTTCCGTGGGGAAAAGAGGACTGGGGTAGAATGCGAAGGATGTTAAAGCTTTATAGTGTCTAACGAGTAAGGTACAAATAAATAATGCCCCAAATTAATAAAGAATTAGCAATATAAAAATATAACCCAGAACCATTGAGATAAACCATGGGGAAAACAGCCAGAAGTCTTATAACACGCTGCTGCTGGGGACTGGGATGGAGGCTGGGATGCCTGAAACAAGGGTTATTTTCCTAATGAACTTTATAATAGTGCTTGCCTTAAAAAAGTGTTTAGCAGAAGCATGGACAGTAACACGATCAGTGGTTTCCAGGGTTGGCAGCAGGGACAATGAATAGGAGTACGGGGTGGCGGGGGGAGATTAGGACAGAGGAAGCACTCTGTGACATCATGACTTTGTCCAAAACCGCAGCAGATGCAGAACACCCAGAGTGATGCGAATGCAGACTGCACTCTGGGTGACGACACGTCAGTGGAGGCTCGTCCACTGGCATAAGTGTACAATCTGGTGGGCACGCTGATGGCGGGGAAGGCTGGGCATGGCAGGGCAGGCAGTCATCTCTGCACCCATGGTCGGTGTTGCTGCGAACCTAAAACCACTCCAAAAATAAAGTCTACTGAAAATACTCCCATGTATTACATAAATATTAGAATCTGTCACCTCTGGATTTTGATTCTGAATTTTCTGTTCCTCAGTGATATGCCCTTTGGTAGATAGCTTAACCTTTCAGATTCTTAATCTATATAAAGGGGAAACAACTATACTTCTATCTGGAGGAGGAAATGGTAACCCACTCCAGGACTCTTGCCTGGAGAATCCCTTGGACAGAAGAGCCTGGTGGGCTACAGTCCATGGGGTCACACAGAATCAGACACGACTGAACGACTAAGCACTATACTTCTAGGTTGGAGATGCAGCGAGGATTAAATGAGACTATATGTGTGAACTCTCCTAATGATTAGCCTCTTTATATGTTGCATGCTTCCCAAAGATGTGAAGATGGTCTACAAAGATGCATTTAATATAGCAAGACAACGTGAATTAAAAACAAATAAAAATAAGGCCACGTCGGGCGCCTGTGCATTGTTCACTGTTCCTCTTTTCTGACGGAAGCGGAGCGTCTGGGGTCAGGTTTCGGCGAGTCCCCTCGGTGTTCTGCGGCAGCGCTTTTGCGTGCATGCTTAGTCCAGGGTGGGCTCCCGCCTGGCTGTATCAGAAGGTCCTGTCACAAACAGTTTGAGGGGAGAACTGCACACACAGCATCAAGAGCCCGCAGAAGGCCGTCTTCAGCCTTCCCGTAGCCAGGGCCCTCGAGCACGCAGCACTCAGCAGGAACACTGGCTGGAATCGGGGTCGAAAGAGGGGACGTTACGGCTGGAGTGGAATGGCGTCTCCAAGAAGGGTGTCCTAGGCCCCCTGTGGGAACTTGTTTGGAAATACGGCCTCTGCAGACGACCAAGATGGGGTGTCAGGGTGGGCCCATGTGTGCAGCGTCCTTATAAAGGGCGACCTGGACCCGGAGATGCTCAGCGATCATGGAGGGTGCTCCTCCAGCCAAATGTGAGCGTGACGTCGCTCAGTCGTGTCCGACTCTTTGCGACCGCATGGACTGTCCAGTCCAGACCAGACCAGAACGTCCTTCCGCCAAGCATGACCGCAAACGGCCGATGGCCTGGGGACCTGGACAGGTCCTCCCTCCGGCCTCAGAGGGAACCACCTGGCCGCTCTTCCAGTCTGACTTCCGGCCTCCAGGCTGCAAGGGCGCACCTTTGTGTTGTTGGAACGCCTGCGGCCTGTGGCACTGGTTTCCTGCAGCGGGGACTCAGCACACAGGCAGGTGACCAAGAACCCCTCTTCCGTCCAGGCGTCTGCACTGCAGCCTCGGGGGACACCTCTGAGCTGGGGTCGGGGGTCTCCTTGCCAGCTTTCCTGTCTCTTTAACACATCTGTCTTTCCAGCGTGACCCTGCTCTGATCCCTTCTGCTTTGGGTGCCCTGTTGGCGTCTGGATAACCCCTCATTCCTAATAATTTTCTCAGTGTTCCCTGTATTTCCTGGTCTAAATTATGTTTTCCACTTGTTCCCACGTTCTAGTCACCATCATGAATACACCCAACCAAAATATTTCAATCCCATCCAGTTCGAAAGAACTGAAAGTCGCTCAGTCATGTCCAACTCTTTGCAACCCCATAGACTATATGGTCCATGGGATTCTCCAGGCAAGAATACTAGAGGGGGTAGCCTTTCCCTTCTCCAGGGGATCTTCCTGAGCCAGGAATGGAACCGGGGTCTCCTGCATTGCAGGCGGATTCTTCACCAGCTGAGCCACCAGGGAAGTCCCATCCAGCTCAAAGGCGATCGCACAGCCACCTGACGCATCACAGAGCCCGGCCTGGAGGCCGCGGGCAGGGCAGGAGTGTCCCCACAGGGAGCCTTGATACCCCTATTTGTGTTCGTGCGGAGCCGCTCTCCTCTGCCTCAACACAGGGCGGGTCCCAGGCCGGCTGCCCTCCCTCGTCGCTGCCCTGAACTTGGCTTGGTCCTTCTCCGCTTCCTCAACAAGACAGAACAAAAGCAAGCAAAATAAATTTTGAAATAATGAAAAGCCTTAGGAGAAGGTGTTTACTGTGCAAAATTGAGAGTCATCCCTTTCCTCCTATTCATGGATACTGAGGAAGCCTGTAAGATAAAAATAATCCCTGAAAGAGTAAAAGGTAATCAGATGTTTTGATTTCAGAGTCGCGGGAGTGACTCCCACTGACGCCCTCTGCTTTCAGAACTGCCGCCTTGCAGGCAGGACTGAGCGAACACGTCCAGCCTCGTCACGAGCGGGCAGCGCCATGGTGGCCTGCGTGGGGGTTCCAGGCAGCCATGTTCCTTGTTCGCGGCCCACAGCAGCCAGGACTGACGTTTTGTCAGCATGAGGTTTACAAAGAGAAGAGAAATCCTGCACCAAGGTCCCAGACGGCACGGCCCTGCCAGCCCTGACGCCGGCTCTGCGCAGGGTCCAGCGCAGTGGACAGCTGTTGGCCCCACCAGGTGCCTGGAACTGTGCTGATATTTGAAATACAGTATTCAGAACAAATCAAGTGGGGCCCAGAGCCTGTTCTCCAGGAGGCTGGGGGCTGCTGGCAGGCCGGTTCACACTGGTCTCTGGCCAGGGGCACATCTGGGAAGGTGTTCTAGCAAAGACAGGCCTTCACTTCATGAACCTACGGGTGTCCAGGCTCCACAGAGGCTGCACAGGCAAGGGCGGGGCGCTGACCCTGTTTTGCTTGTTGACTTTTTAAAAATCCTTAAGTGAAGACTTTGCTTAGAATGTTGTAAATGTGCTATTTTCCTCAAACCTAATTTAATGTAATCATAACTGTTTCACATTCATTTAAAACTTAAGTTGTTTAAATTTATATTGAACTTGTAGCTTATAGATTGATTTAAATTATCTATTTTTAATGCAAATACATGATTACATTTGAGCTGTGACTTTTAAAGACAATTTTGGTTTTCTGCAAATAGTTGCTACAGGTGATGTATTTATTTTAGATAATAAAGTATGGTTTAATTATTTGAAGGCTTTCATGTAATTGCCTTTAGTAAGTGTATAACTTCATTCATTATCCACATCCTGTCATCAATATTTTAAAATTGAGAATATATTTCTTGTAGTAATTTCGGTTTGAAAGACTAAAATAAATGATTTGCTTTTTTAAAATGAGAAGAAAGGTTTTACATTAATATCTTACTCACATTAACATAATCAGATTTTAATCCATGCAACTCAGAGAGAGTTAGAGATGGTGAACTACTGACTGAAGGCAGGAGGAGAAGGGGACGACAGAGGATGAGATGGCTGGATGGCATCACCGACTCGATGGACATGAGTCTGAGCAAGCTCCAGGAGTTGGTGATGGACAGGGAGGCCTGTGTGCTGCAGTCCATGTAGTCGCAAAGAGCCGGACACGACTGAACGACTGAACTAAACTGAAACTACTGACATGTAAACTCACATGCAAGGACTTGCTAAAACATGTTCCCCAGCTTTTTGTTTATTTTCATTGTAAATGTTCCCAGCACCAGAATTTCTACCAACTTTTCATTTTTTCAGTTAAAAGAGCTCTCTTTCTCTGCTTGGCTGCCGTGGGTCTTGCCCACGTCCTGCAGGGTTGTGGTTGCGGTGCGTGGACTCTCACTGTGGTGCTCCGCGCTCAGTGGTCGCGGCAGGCTGGCTTAGCTGCCCGCTGCCCGTGGGGTCTTCACTCCAGGATCCAACCTGCGTCCCCTGCACTCCCAAGTGGATTCTTAAGCACTGGAGCGCAGGGGAGTCCTTCGAGTTTTTAAATAGATGCTTAGTCTATTGGTTCTGACCATGGGCGAGACTGCACTAAGAGTCAGCCTGAATGTTACTTCTCTATCTCATTTCATCAGCTGTGACGTAACCGTTTCTGTTCCAGCCTCCCCGCCTTCTTCTCTTCCTTCCTTCCCCCTTCCTTCTCTCCCCACGCCTTCCCTTTCCCCGTCTTTCTTTCTTTGTACAGGACCTTCTTTTCCCTATGCAAGCTACGTGGCAGAACGTCGATGGGTCTGGGAGTGTGGTATGCAAGGTGCATGCACGTAGTCACAATAACTGCAGTGATGCTATTAATAATATGCAACGATGATCAAAGCAAGAGAGTTTCAGAAACTCTCCCCTGCCTACTGTGCACAGGGGCCTGATTGTCTGGATTGACATCTTATCCTTTGAAATGAGGAATGATTTAGACAACAAAGACACTGTCATCCTCTCCAAAAGGCTACAGTTAAGAAGCACAGGTTATCAGATTTTTTGAATGATGCCCTGAGTCCTGAAATTAGCTAAAAACCCTATTGGAACTTTTGTATTATCAAGATAGTTTTGAATCTATAGAACATTTTCTCTCATTATATCCTATTTAAAATTTATTTCCTCACATGCTACTCAAGTAGACACACATTTCTCCCCTAAGCACACCTTAGTCTAGATCTGTGTCTATAAATATAAGGAAGGCTGTCCTTGTTATGATCTGCAGGGACAGTCACGTGCATCACACAGAGCTGAGTGGTTTCTAGACAGAATGGTGCTGATGCACAGTAGCTTATTCTGTTACTCTATTTGCACAACCTCTTCCTTTCAAAGTTACTGAAAGTACTTAATGTATTAAGGTTTTTTAAAAAAGCAAGATAGCCCCATTTTACAGACAATAGCTAAGTATTATCACACTTACAGTTCTACATCCAACAAAACCCATTCATTCAATTTCACCTGTACTATTAAATGCTCTTCTCCCACTTTCAAATATCATTAAAACAATGCTCCACTATTTATGTGTTTTGACCCATACTGCACTCACAGGTTACCTGGTCTGTGTAAATACAAGTTAGTTTGGTAAAATCAGAGCTCGATAACTCGCTGAGTCTGTTTAATCGCCCATTCTTTACAACAAAAATGTGTGTGGGGGGCCTGCCTCCTGTGTCTGCCTGACCACCCTCCAGGAGAGGCACAGTGCGTCCTCAGGCAGCCAGAACGGCCAGTCCAAAAACGGAGAATAAAATCAGTAAATTGGTCAGTCCTCTCTACTTGCAAGATTCTGATAATCCAGCTTAAAATTTTCTTCTGCTAGTTTAATTTTTTCAAAAATCATCTAAATTGGACAGTTAGGTGAGAGTGCTTTATGAACAATAAATTGCTCCTCAAATTTAAGTGATCTAAACAGAGTCTTGGGCTTCCCTGGTGGCTCAGATGGCAAAGAGTCCGCCTGCCATGCTGGAGACCTGGGTTTGATCCCTGGATCGGGAAGGTCCCCTGGAGGCGGGCATGGCAACCCATCCAGTGTTCTAGCCTGGAGAATCCCATGGACAGAGGAGCCTGGTGGGCTGCAGTCCCTGGGGTCACACAGAGTCCCATGACTGAACGACTTAGCACACACACTCACGCTCTGAACAATTGCTCATCACACACGTGCTGGGCCGAGTTGTGTCCCCGGTTTCCCGAGTCCCGCTGGCCCTGCTCAGCATCCCTGGGGTGCCGAGGAGCAGGTTGGACCTGGGTCCTCCTGGACCTCGGAGGCGTCCTGCGCTGGGGACTGGTCTGAGCCCCTGCCTCGGCAACAAGCTCTCCCAGCGTCCATGCCTCCGAATGTGAGAGGCCCTGCCTTGTCAACCTCTGAGGGTAACTGTGCCAACTCCAAGGCAATGTGGGCTGCCGCCGCTGAACAAGGTCGTGATCAGACCCGCTCTGCTCAAAGTCGTTTCAGCGTTCATCTGTGCAGAGAGACAGGGTGCACGCCCCATGGGAGGGCCCCACGGGCAGGGCAGCCCAGGGCATCTCAGCCTCCAGGCCAGCTCCTGCTTCCTCTGAAGGACCCTCCCTGAGCCCCCAGGATGAGCCCCCACCGCCTGTCCCCCAGTGGTGGCCCCCAGGGTCACGCTCCCTCGTGTACCATCAGGCTCACCGACGCAGGGAGGCCCGCGAGTCCAGTGCTGCACTGCCAGGGCCTGGGAACAGGCCACGCACATGACAGGCGCCCAGAGAGTAACCCGTGCCCACCATCAACGTGTAACAACGTCTGCCGGGCAGGTGAGCCAGTGATGCGATGCTCATCAGTAACTCTCAAAGGAAATCAGTATTAACACGATGGGGGCAGGGACACTGGTCTGCATAATTCTGTCTGCCACCCAGGCCACCCCACCAACTGAGGTCACAACTCTCCACTTTGTCCCTGCCTGAATGGGCACAGGCTTACCTGGCAAAGCACTATTTATTGAGAGGCTGCAATTTTCTGGGCAGAGCACACACTCAGACCATGAACCATTAATGCCCTTCTGCAGTGGGTGTGATCATGAGAAGATGGACTTGACGGTGAAGACATTAACTGAGGACATGGAGCTGCCGGGTCACCAGCTGGCTCACCTTCGGTCCAACTCCCACATCCTTCCCCATCCTGCTGGACAAGGTTGGCAGAGATTAGAAACAGTACAGACACCACCTCGACTCACAGGGATGCGTCCTGTCACAGCACAGGTGAGTCGCTGTTCCCTGGGGTGAAATGCAAGTGGCCCCAGTTCCTACAAGGATAAACATCACCCTTCAGAGCAGTTTCTAACACAAAGAACAAAGCCCCGCTTCTCCCTCTGTGTGGGCTTTCAGGGTAACGTCCTGCCCAAGTCTGGGCTCTCCCACGTGCCTAAATTTCCCCCTAGAGTTTGGATGACTGAAAGGCATGAGGTTTCTACATCCTTTCCCAGGTTAGAAACGCGTCCACCTGGGCTTCCTCCTGTTCTGTTGCTTAGAAATAGAAAGAGAAGCTGGCCTCTGCTCGGGATGTCTTTGGGCCGCCCTCGGGCCGCCCTCGCCTGTGGCTATTCGGCCCCGAGCGAGCGTTCCGAACCTGTGCGCTTCTGTGCACTGTGCGGCCCGGTTCTCCTTCTGTGAAGCCTGGGTCAGTGTTTTCCAGGCTAAAACTCTCATCCCCGTATCTTCGAGCACGTAGGACCATTGCTGCCACTATATATGGTCCCTACTTATCGTTTCCGGGGTGCAGACAGAGAACAATGTCTGGGTGATCACTCTTGTCAGCGCCCCTCCCCCCATTGTCAAACCCAGCCTGACATTCCTCCGCACTCTCACAATATTTCCCCATTGGGAACATGCCTGACATTGCAATTTCTCAAAACTGCAGCTCTGCAGTGAATGCCTAATTCCTGAAACTGCAAAATCTAACAAAAGCTGATTTTTTCCACTGATTTGACTGGCTGACTATTTCGAGGCTTTGCATGTGATGCCCTGCTGTTCTTCACAAACAGCATCTTTAATGCCCCACACGGTCGTTCTGAAGGGGCTGCGGGCAATTAAGTCCTTGCGGCGGCGGCCTGCGGACGCTCAGAATTTGTCTCAGTGTCCAGAGTTTCTGCTATAGATGCATTTCCCCCAGAGGTTGCGTTGAGCAACTTGGGAGCAGGAATCGGGTCCTTGCTCTGAGCCGGGAACCCATTCACCCTGAGAGTCCAGCGTTACCCAGGACAGCTGTGCAAACACGTCAGCTCACCGGGAGTTGTTTGTTTGTGGTGGTTTTAACATGGCTTTTCTCTCCCCCTCTCTCTCTAGGTTGGCGTTTTCACATTTAAAGATGAGAAGCCAATTTAGAAGAAAATACAGCAGTTCTGTTTTCGCTATCAAAACAGATGATCTTTTTCTATCTTTGGATGTATCAGTAGTCTGGGCTCCTGATCTATTTTCCATAGTTGGTTGCGCTCTTCAGCTGCAATTGCAGCGCGAACCCCAACCTGACTTGTGAGGAGGACAGTCCGGCCTCCTCTTTCCTTCCCCCTGACTGCCACCCGCCCCCCACCCGGCACCGCAAACTCCAGTTTCCCCGACTTTTCAGATGAGCCTCGCGGGGCTCACTCTCTGGTGAGCGCCACGGGTTTACAACCCCGATCAGCGCTCCATTCCTCCACCCTGGTGGAGAACCGCATCCAGGCACAAACAGCCTGAATATATTCCATGCCCCCCCATGCTGCGCGCGCCCGCGCGCGCACACACACGCCTGGGTTAGGGGCAAACAGCCTGCATGTGTTCCATGCCCCCTCTCCACCCCCTGCTGCGCGCGCACACACACACACACACACACACACACACCAGGGTTTGCAGGAACCCAGGCCGTTGCGCCTCGGGTGAAAAACGGAGAGGCCGGCCGGCCGGCCCAGGGCCCGGTCGTTGGTTGTGGTTTCTTCTGGAAACAGAACTGCCCGGGCAGGACTGAGCCTCGCGGGCTTGTTCCCAGGCTCGCGCGCGCCCAGCGAGCGGAGACAGGCGCTCCGGTTACGGAGAGGGATCCGGAAGGACGAGGCCTCGGCGCGCTCGGCCTCCTGCGGGCCCCCGGGTGCCCCCGCCGCCTCCGCGCGCGGCCCGGCCTCCCCGCCCCCAACTTGTTGCGGCCGAGCGCGGAGACCGCCCGTTCCGCCCGCTGATTGTAAAAGGGTTTGACTCGCCGCTGACCCCAGGTCAGGACTTTCTCTCCGCTAATCCCGCTCTCTTTAAACACAAAACACTCTGCCTCTTCCCTCGCTTCAGTCGTCTTAATCCCCCCGCGGCTGACACCCCGCGCGGCCCCCGGCCCGGGCCGCTCCCGCGGGGCCCCGCCCGCGCCGAGCCCGCAGAGACGCGGCGGAGGGGACGGGGCACCGGCCCTCGGGGCACCTGCCGACCCGACACGGACCCCGGGGAGCGTCCCGGGCCGGGCCGCGGGGGAGGTGGGACGGGCGCGTGGAGACAAAGGCGAGGAGGCCCGGAGGGCGGAGAAGGAGAGCGGCGGAGCCGGAGCCGGAGGGGAGGTAGAGGAGAGGGAGGGGGCGGAGAGAGCCCGCAGCGGCGGGGGCGGGAGATCGCCCGCGGCGGAGGGCGACGTCGGGGAGCCGCGAGGCCCAGCAGCCCCCGCCCAGAGGGCACCGGGCCCTGTGCGCCGCCCGCCGCCGACACTGCCGGGTTCTCGGGGGCGCGCAGCTGGAGAGGAAGGGCGGGGGTGAGGGGGCGGGGGCGGAGGGAGGGGGAGCTGCGCGCCCCCCGCGGGGCCTCGCCGTCGGGCTGGGGTGGGCGGACCTCGAGGTGTGGGAGAGGGTGAGGGGTCCCAAGTCCCCTACTGCCGGGCTCGGCCTCCGCGCCGCCCGCCCGCCGGCCCTCGCGCGGTCCCCTCGCCGCCCCGACCCTGGGGAGCTGGGGTCTGGGGGGCGGGGGCCCGGGCCCACCTCCCTCGGCTCCTCTCCCCGGGAGGCCCGCGCCCCCCTCCTCTCCACCCCCCTCCCCTCCCGGCTGGGCCTTTCAATCCCGCCAAAGAGCCACGCTGGAAAAAGAGCCGCGCCAAGGCCAAGTCTGCTTTTCACTTGAAGTTTCCAAGGAATCAAACCTATTATTACATTCAGCCGCCCATGTTTCTGGAGCCTCTGCCCCGAGGGCCGGGCTGCAGAAGCGGGGTAGTGGGGGTGGGCGCAGGGGGGCGCGGGCCGTGGGTGCGGGAACCCGGGCCCTCGGCGGCCCCGGAGGGGTTTCACGAATTAACTGGAATTTTTCGGAGAAGAAATCCGCGTGGCCCAGTCTTTGTCGGGAAAGTGAAACGCGTGAAGACGCGTGTTGATCTGCTCCTAAAGGCAGGACTTGACCAGACCCACCAGTCCCGCGTCTGCAGGTCGCGCGCTCTATTCCCACTGCCAGTTTGGAAATCATTTCACCAGCTGCAGTGGGCTTCTCTGACGGTGGAGGGAGGAGGAGGAGGAGGGCCAGAGTCTCAACCACGACTACGAGAGAGCCCCGAGAGGTTAAAAAAAAAAAGGTGGGGGTGGGGTACAGAAACGAGGGGAAAATGTCTCCAGCAAACAAACCCTGCTACCCTCGGCCTGGAGAGGCCGAAGGTGCACACGGGCCGGTTCCTAAGCTCGCGGGTCCTCTAGGCACGAAGTTGTGCAAACTTTGCACAAGACCATCAGAGTCCTGTCTGCAGTCTCCACAGTTTTCACAGAAACTGGAGTAAGCCTCAGGACTCCCACCCCCGAGTGCCCTCGGGACGTGGACGAGGCCGGGGCAGTACCGTGACGGCCACGCCGTGCGCGTGAACAGGGCCAGGCCGCCTCGGCAGGAGAGCAGTTCGCGGTTGATAAGGTGCTCCCGGGCCTTGTGGAATATTCTCCCCACGATCTGAAGTCGAAGAAACACTGCTGGAGCGATAAGACTTCGATCCTGAAACATGATTCCTGGCTAATTTCTACCCCCCCCCCGCCCCCCGTCCTAGGTTGTTTTAAAATGGAATCATTAAAGAATTTTTATTTGCTTTTCTCCTCCTTGTTCTAGTCAACAAAACAATTGCTAAATTTCAGGAATTTTTGTTTTCAGATCTTCCGGGGTTTTTGACAACGTGGCTTGGGCCACCTGGCATTGACTATTTCTGCTGACTTGGTATGAGGCCGATTAGGGGAAATGCCACACTATAAGTCCACCTTCCAGGAGACCAACAGACAGCTTTGCCAGGAGCCCGGGCTAAACTTTATATGGTCAGAAACATTTCCAATGTATCCCACATTACTAACATTGTTATGCCAATATTCCAGCAAAGATACAAATGTATTTATATGTGAGCACAGCCCCAGGTCTGTCTGCCCCCTTAGCAGGTGCAGGAAGATGTTAGAAAAGAGCCAGGCGGAGTCCACTGAACTCTGGACATTCAGAGCAGATGAGGCCTGAACCTTCCACCGCTTGGGGAGTCCACAGAGCATCACAGAATTTCTCAAAGTGTCTCCCAGAGGAGACTGTGTGTGGCATTTATTTTCAGATTGTCTCACTATCTAAGATGCTGTTCTGCCCAGCAGTCCTTATGTATCCAAACACATCAAATTGCTAAAGCAAAAAAAAAAAAAAAAAAAGAAAGAAAAGAAGAAAGAGGGAGACTTTATTATCGTTAGAAAGAAGCAACTGTCCTAGCTCTTGAAATTTCTGCAGTCACCTTAAGGAATGAGTGATTGAAGCAAAATTATCAAAGTGACTCCAAAAAAATTACACATGTCAATTGTCAGGTGAGTATTTTACTTAAAGCTATTCTCTAGCGAAGGCTGACCCTGGTTTTCTTTAACCTGCTAGCACAGGCCCACGTTTGGATGGACAGTCTATGCTCATTCCAGGACTAAAAAAAAAAAAAATGTTGAGAAAAATGAGGGGCTGATGAAATCAATGTATTTCGATCTGACGGAAAGCTTTGTTCTTTTCAAAAATATAATTTTCATCTTTATGCTGTGACTAATGTCAAAACGTATTTGCTACAGGATAACTTTCAAATGCAATATTTAATGCTGTCATATTACTTGAAGACAAAGTTTTACAGAAAACTTTAAAATCCAGAAAAAACTGCAATGTACCAATAAACACCTAGAAAAAATATAATTAAAAAAAATTAAAGCATCAAACAACCTCAGATCTCGTCAGGAATAATAAACACCGCATTTGCATTCACATCGGTTAGCAACTTGCATCCCAGTTCACCCGGGGCATCCTGGAATGGTCGGTTTTGTGTGTGAAAACCCAACAGAACTATTTTGTCCTTTTCCAAGGAGAGATATACCAGAGGGAGGGGCTGAGGCCAGACGGAGGGGAATCGGTTGCAGTACATTTTGGTTTAGAGAGTGCGTTTCCTTGAGCCAAATTCAGAAAATTCCACTTGCAGTCTCATTAACTGCAGGGGAATTGGGCCCCCCGGCGCCCCCACCGAGACTTTGTCGCCCGTCCTTGCCCCGGTCCCGCCACTGGGGTCTTTTCTCCTCCCTCCTTTGGACCAAACTGCGCGCAGGTCCCGGGCAGCAGGAAGAGGCTCGAAGCAAGGAATCGCAAAGCCCGCGGCATCTGCCTGCAGTTAAAAACGACGCACCCAAGGCCGGGCTACAAAACTATTTTTTTTTGGGGGGGGCAATTATTTCTCGTTCCGTAATGACAGTGTAAAGTCTACAAAATAATCTATCGATTTTTACTCCCCTTCCTTCCTCTTTAATGCAACTTCAAGGACACTGTGCCCTCTCCCCCGGTTTCCCTCAGTTTCATTTCATGATAATTTTTCTTTCTCCTTCAGATTAACTAATTGTATCTTGAACTCATAAAGCATGATTATAAATTCAGCACGTTTCAAATTTATGGGGAAAAACGGACTTCTCGCTCTTAAATTTATTGACTCAAAGCTCGATGCAATTTTTTTTTTTTAGGGGGGGGTTCTTTTTTTAGTTTTTAGAAGAAAGGCTTTTTAGGAAACTATGTACATAATCTGAATCCCCCTCTCCACACCGCAACGCCGCAAATAAAAATTTCACAACGCATTTACATGAAATAATACAAAACAACAAAAAAAAAGAAAATGCTCAGATACAGAAAGTTTTACAAAACCCAGAATAACGCTGCCGCCTGAAAGGGGTGGGTGGGGGGAATCTCTTTGTATAAATTAACAAACCGATCCCCCCTAAGCCGTAACGACTACCAAAACTTGTGTTGGGCGCCGTCTCCCTACACAGCTAACAGATGAGACCCGCTCCCCGCGCCGCCGTCACCCGACGCCGTCAGGAGGCGATGCGGGATGAAAGCGGACGCGCGGCGGGGATAGAAAAGTTGGGAGTCGCCTCGTGCTTGGTTCGGTCTCTGTGTCCCCTCGAGCAAAGAAGACGCTTTCTGCCTTCTCCGCGGATGGATGATAAATACTGTACAAAAAGTCTCAAGAAAACACCGGAGTTCAGTCTCCGACGCGCAACCGTCCCGCCGAGCGGTCCCCGGGAGCTCGCGGTAGGGGGGCCTGGCGGCGCCGGGCGTGCGGCGCCTGTGTCTTCCTTTTCAGGAGAACGTGGACAGGTTTTTACGGAGGCCGGCCGGCCGCGGGGTGCCCGCGCCCCTAGATGTGCGTCAGGGGCACCGTGCCGTTGACGCCCGCGCCCGCGCCCTGGTAGTGCTGCGGCAGCGAGTGCAGCCGGCTCTGTGCCGCCGCCGGGTCGCCGCCCTCGCCGGCCGGCAAGTACATGCTGATCATCTCGCGCAGGTCCCCGGGGCACGGCGCCCGCGAGTGCGCCGCGGCCGGCGGGCTGCCGCTCGGCTCCGACTTGACGAGCGAGCCCAGCGCGCCCAGGGCGCCCGACGACGCGGCCGCCGCCGCCGCTGCCGCCGCCACGGCCGAGTTCTGGTGCGCGCCGCCCGCGGCGCCGTAGGGGAGGCCCCCGTAGCCCGAGGGCGAGGCGCTCATGTAGCCCTGCGAGTTGGAGATCGGGCTGTACTGCAGCGCGCCCATGTCGTAGCGGTGCATGGGCTGCGGGTTGTGCGGGTGCGCGTGCGGGTGGTGCGCGTGCGGGTGCGCGGGGTGCGCGTGCGGGTGCGCGCCGCCCGCGCCCGGGTGCTGCCCGTAGGCCAGCTGCGCCTCCTGCATCATGGCCGCGGCGGCCGCCGCCGCCGCCACCGAGCCGGGGTAGGCGCCGTTGGCCCAGCCGTTGACGTGCGCGTAGCCGCCGCCCGCCGCTCCGCCGGGGCTCTCGAGCCGCTGGCCCACGGCCGCTGCGCCCACGCCCACGGCCACGGCCGCGCCGCCGCCCGCGCCGGCCGCCAGCAGCCCGCCGGCCAGCGAGTACTTGTCCTTTTTGAGCAGCGTCTTGGTCTTGCGCCGCGGCCGGTACTTGTAATCCGGGTGCTCCTTCATGTGCAGCGCGCGCAGCCGTTTGGCCTCGTCGATGAACGGCCGCTTCTCGGCCTCGGACATGACTTTCCACTCGGCGCCCAGGCGCTTGCTGATCTCCGAGTTGTGCATCTTGGGGTTCTCCTGGGCCATCTTGCGCCGCTGACCGCGGGACCACACCATGAAGGCGTTCATGGGCCGCTTGACTCGGTCCTGGTTGGCCTTGGCGCCCCCGCCGCCGCCGCCGCCGCCGCCCCCGCCCGCCCCGGCCGGGCCCGACAGGTTCGTGGGCGCCTGGGCGCCGCCGGGCGAATGCAGGTCGGTCTCCATCATCATGCTGTACATCGGGGCGGCTCGCGGGTTCACCGGCGCCGCGCGGAGAGGGCCTGGCGCATAGACGGCCGGGGTGGGGGATGGAAGGGGGCTCAGACGGACCGAGACGCGGGCGGGGGGGTGAGGTCCTGGCGGAGAGAAGAGTGCGGAGAGGTGGAAGCGACAACGACACAAAAGAGGCAAGTATACACGCACTTAGCGCCGGTCCGGCTCACGGGTGGAAAGTTTCTCTGAAGCGCCAACCACTTGCCGAAGAGGCCGAGGGCCGGGGTCGCCGTCGCCGCAGCCGGGTCGCCCTCGGCGGCGCGGTGCCAACAGGTGCAGGCGCGGCCAACTTGCAGCTCCACTTTACGGGGCGCAGCGGTGCGCTGGGCCCGGCTCGGGGCTCGCCGCCGCCGCGCAGCTCCTTCCTCCCGCGTCGGTCCTCCGCGGCCTCCAACTCCGGGGCTGCAACTTCTAGCAGGGCGGTGCGCCGCGTGCTCTGGGCATGTGCCGGTCCCAGGTGCCCGGGGGGAGCGAGTCGCCGAGGGGAGCGGGAGGGGGGTGCGGGGGCGGGGGGCGATCACGGTGCAGCCGGGGAGGGGGGCCGGGGGCCGCGGAGGGGGCGCAGGCGCGCGGAGAGGGCCTGAGAGCGGGGCGGCCGAGCCCGGGACGCGCTGCCGGCTGCCTGCCCGGGGCCGTGCGCTCGGAGCGGAGGCGCACGCGGGGCCGGCGGCGCGCGGGGCCCAGCAGCCATACGCCGGGCCCGGGCTGCCATTAAATGAGCGCGCCGCGGCCAATGGGAGCCGGCGGCGGCGGTGATTTGCATGGCGCGCTGGCGAGTGACGTGGGGAGGGGGTAGGGGCGCCGGGCGCGGGCGGCGGAGCGGGAGGAGCGGGAGGAGCGGAGGGAGGCGGCGGAGCAGGGGAGGAGGGAAGAGGGAGGAGGGAGGCAGCCGCGAGGGGGTCCATGCCACGCCGCTTCCCGAGCGCGCGCGGCAGCGGCGGCGGCGGCGAACCCCGAGCTCGCCCTCCTCGCCTCTCCCCGCCCGCGCGCTCCGAACGATTAACGAGCGGGTTTAAAAGCGAAGATGAAGAACGACTCCTGCGGGGCGGGGGGGCGGGGGCCGGCAGTCCCGAGCAGCGTTTAAAAAAGCGCCAAGGAAACGCGGCCCCTCCGCTCCCCTGCCAACCGACTCCGCGCCTGCTGGGAAGGGGGAAGTTGGAGGCCGAGGCGGTATGCTCGGCCTCCC